CTCGCCGCAGAGAGACGAGTCCAATGGTGTAGTGCACCAGTCATGTGACCCGCTTTGGGGGGAGTTATGAAGGGGCGACGCTTTGCGACGCTGCAAATCCGTCGCTCAGCGGAGAAATTTCAAAAGTTAGTGGCGGTATTGTAAATATAAAAAGTAGTTGAGGTAATTAGTCCATCATAGTGAAAGAAAACAAGAAAAATCACTAAGCTCTTCAAACCACATGGTGCGCTTATCGTATGGGCGGGGTGTGCGACTCCCCTACGAGATTCCTACTGGTCGCGCCGGACCCTTACGTGTTACCGTATTTACGACATAGAGAACAGAGCTGACCAACGAAACCGTTGCAGAGAGTGTCGCGAAAACCTCCGCCCCGTATGGTCACCGTGCAAAGTGGCTTAGTAGTTGTTTTCTTTCACGTTTTCGTTAGTGTTGTTCCAATTACCACAATAGTTCCTTTTCCGGCTGCATAGCATAGCTCACGCCTAAACAGTTCCGGAGTGTGAATAAAGTTCGACACGTCATCACTTAACTTTTACTTTCGTTTCTTAGCACTGAATATTTAGTTCTTCTCACTCTCGAACCATATTTATGAACTTTTAATGAGTTCGATTTTCTCACTTCGCAACTGCGAACCCGATCACATTAGTGCGGTGGCCACCTGCTTCCCCATACTGATTCGGCCAATCCATTCATTATCACGGAGCTATCTGAAGACACAATGTTCTAGCCTCACAAGGGAGGTCTTTCAGGGCAAGGTGCGCTTTTTGGAAACGGTTTAGTGCATATTGTAGGGACGCATGTATGGACCACAAAACCATGTTTCGTTTTCGCTGAACGGTTTTAGTAGTACCAAAAAAGTGGTGAATGATACCTTGATGGTTCAATCCCCCGCGGCGACTAAATTTTGCAATCAAGGTTGGCGGCCACTTGTTGGCTTCAAAATGGTCCTGACGATGAATTTGACATCTGATTTTGATATTTAGCGCGATTTGGCACCAAACCGTAGGCGCCAACCCAAATGCAAAATTTAGTCGCCACGGGGGATCGAACCCTTAACAGTACCTTATGCTTCTTTTTTGGTACTGCTAAACCGTTCAGCGAAAATGAAACATGGTTTTGCGTTCCCTACATGCGTCCCTACAATATGCACAAAACCGTTTTGAAAAAGCGCACCTTGCCCTGAAAGACCTCCCTTGTCAGTCATGTTTATATGTGGCATATTTTTTTATTATTTTGCCACTTTTCCTATACAGTTCTTCTGGTCGAGAAGGGCCACCACATGTATAGTCAAAGAGGAAGTGACTGACCATGATCCGAAACCGCCACATCCATCGGCGCCCTGTTTCACACAGCTTTCTGGCACTTGCTTCTTACTGGCAGTGTTACGTAACTCGAGATAGATTGAGAACTCTCCACGAAAGTCCTTAAAGGAAACGAAATCGTATAATAGAATATGAAACATTTCTCAAATTTGCTAAAATAAGTGAATCACTACTTCCAAATGTGAACGTCATTTCTTGCCAGTTTGCAGATTGCTAGGAAGTAGTCTGTGTGCGGCCCACATTGGTTCGTAGATACGATGTACCGCCCCGGAGGTGCAGTGCACCTTCCCCACTGGTGGGTGCCATTCGTTTTTTTTACAGGGAAGGCTCCAAGAGTAGAAGCCTTTGCGAGTTCCAAATGCATTTACTGAACCAGTAGAGCGATTTCCAGCTCGTTTCTGTTCGAGAGGATAGATAAAGGGTCAACCGTCACGTTGGACAAATTTCAAAAATTTTACGACCCCCTCCCCTTCTGGAGGGCCTCGATACGACCCCCCCCCCAGCTGTTACTATAGTATTTGATTCTGAGACCAGTTGACACAAACTCACCCACATTTCCTCCAAAATAGCCGTCGAGCGAGAGGAGAGGGAGGGGGAGAGGTATATATCTACAGTTGAACGGCAAACTTTCTTCTTAGCACTCACAAAGCGTAAAGCGTCACACTACGACCCCCCCCGTTGGTGTAGGATTGACGCTGCCTCCGACCTTGCGAATACGACCCCCCCCCTTTTCGTCGGCCGAATACGACCTCCTTTGTTGGACTTTGTCCAACGGACGCTTGATCTTGGTTAAGTGGCAATTTTCTTCTGAAAACTGAACACGAGGCTTTGTGCAGGGACGCTCTGCTCAGCACGTAAGAACACTTCCTAAGCAGCAAATTTCTTACGAAGTGCTAGCCAGAGGATGTAAGGGTGTTCGACAATTTGGCCTAAGGGTGGTTCGAGACTTTCCGGAAATGATGTTCATGAAAACTTATATCTGAATTTGTTCCAGATTCGTAATTCACGTACACTTGTGAAAACGAATCTGGCTGACCCAGCATTGCGTCGAGGGAGAGAAATGGGAGTACATGGAAACTAACTTCTCTTCCTTCTTTCAGTCCATTTACTTCTCGCCTTAGGATTACTCTTGGTCAGACAGATTTAATGCACTGAAGGTCAATGTTTATGATCGATCTGGTGTATTATCGGACTAGCAAGTGATAGTTTATACACTGCGACGCATAATCTTAGTTCCACCTACAAATTTCCCAAAAACTAGAATTTGGAGATGTTTTTGAAAAGGGCTCTACAGACAAATTGTGACACATGCAAATGCGAATCTGAATATTATCACGGAAATCCAGTTTGAGAAAGCAAAAATTTTTTATCCTCATTTTTTCGAAAATACCCGACTTGCCTATGACGCAAAATCATAGTTCCACCACATGTTTCTCTGCTGCATTTTGCTTTTACCCAATCAAATTTTGAAATTATTACCCACTCAAGTCCCTTAGCTTATAGCAAAGGCAAAACCGCTGTCGAACTTCCGTAAAAGGAAAACCCTAGCAAAAGAGACGCAGGAGTTGTTGAAGTGTCAGCTCACGCTAGAATTTGTCGGGGTGGCTTCATAACGAACAAGTTTCTCAAGGATGCTACAGGATATGATTCTGGGAAGAACCCTGATTACTATCCGACCGAGATAAGCGCCGTATCGTGAGAAAATAATACGACTTTATCCAGCCGGGTACGGAAATCAAAACTTCTTCAAAAGTTAGTGTCTCAATGGAAGCAGTTTCACGTGTTTTACAACACGCTCGTGACAGTCCATGTCTGGAAGGATAAGAAATACGCTTTCAGTGAGAAGAAATCAGAGAGAAAAACGAGCCATTTTTCTTTGAAAGCTCAGCCAGTTCGAGTGAAGCGGTGGCATTCTTTCATTTGCGACTTTTGATTTGCGTCTTTCTTTCTCTTAACGTTTTTCTTTCTCAGATCGGTTTTCTACTTCGTAGCACACATGTATGGAGAAGAAAATGATCAGGAGGATGGTCAGAGGTTCCAAAATATCACAGATAAAAAAGTGTCCTCACTTCGCTCTACTTAGCAAAACTTTTTGAGAAAAATGGCTCGTTTTTCTCTCTGATTTCTTTTCACTGAAAGCGTATTTCTTATCTTCCAGACATGGACTGTCACGAGCGTGTTGTAAAACACGTGAAACTGCTTCCATTGAGACACTAACTTTTGAAGAAGTTTTGATTTCCGTACCCGCTGGATAAAGTCGTATTATTTTCTCACGATACGGCGCTTATCTCGGTCGGATAGTAATCAGGGTTCCTTCCCAGAATCATATCCTGTAGCATCCTTGAGAAATTTGTTCGTTATGAAGTCACCCCGACAAATTCCAGCGTGAGCTGACACTTCAACAATTCCTGCGTCTCTTTTGCTAGGATTTTCCTTTTACGGAAGTTCGACAGCGGTTTTGCCTTTGCTATAAGCACGACACGAGTGGGTAATAATTTCAAAATTTGATTGGGTGAAAGCAAAATGCAGCAGAGAAGCG